GGGGCGGTGGCTGACATGTGACCGCTGTGTAGGTGAGAAGGCCAAAGGTGAGCAAGATGGAGCGGCCCCAGGCTCTCCCCGCCAGGGCTCCAGAGGGCGTGACGGCGAGGGGGCCCCCATGGCTAGGGCACCGCGGGACGTCCACACTGGGTTTCTGGTAATGGAAATCGGTAAAAATAAACTGTGTCAGAAAATAACATCTCCACTTTTAGGACCTGGAAATTTAACAGAACTGATGTGCAGTCTTTGGTGAAATTATAATAAAAAACAAGTGATCTTTCCTCCTCTTCATTCCTGGATCTTTTGTGTGATGTTTACCCTGGGCGGGTGCCTTGGTTACGTTGGTGGGGGGACTGTCTGAGGAGGGGGCACTGAAGCCTTAATGGAGAGACGTAGAACAGTTAGGAGTTCAGAAACCCTGAACCTCAGCTGGCTCCACACAGCCAGTTTCTTTCTTTACGGAAGAGACTATTTTGTAGATGGAGAGCACAAAAAATCTGTGGATGGGTCCAGTTTGACAGTTCTTCACCAGGGAACGGGGCCAGTAACATCAGTCCTCCCAGAGTTACTGTGAGATGAGGACGAGGATGACACGGAGTACTCAGCACGCTGCTCCGTAAAGAGTACGCAAACGTGAGCCACCGTTACTGTCATCGCAGATGCCAAGGGCGGGCGTGGCAGCGGGGATGCCCCCTGGGCCCTGGATGGAGCTGTGAGGCAGCGGCCCTTTGCTCTGATGCTCTTCCAGTTCTCTTTGGTCTCCCCTGGTCCTTCTCCAATGTCAACAGCTCTCTCAGGCTGGCCCACTCTTGAAATAAGAACATGCTACAAAAAATTCTTCCTTCATCTTTGTGCCCTGATGTTTAAGTGCTTCCTAGTAAGGTCTGAATGACAATTGGCCTAATTTTCCTTGAGATATTTGGTTCTTGGAATAAAAGTGAATGATGATCACAAGCACACGAGGAGATGTTTCTCACAGGGAAGGTTTTACTGGGCCTTGTTTCCTACTGGGAAACAAGGGCCCCGCGTGGAGGGGTGTGTTACCCACGTGGACGGCACAGAGCAGAGGTCCCATAGGTCCTGTGATCCGAAACTGGGTGGCTTGATCACAGGGAATAATTCTTCCTTGTAATGAGATCTGATCTTTTCCTAGAGTTTCTCAAATTGAATGTAAATATCCCTTTCTCCTGAAAAGTGAACAAAATGAAGGACAAGAGCTTTGCATTTTTGTCTGTTTCCCAGAAAAAGCATACTGAAGATGTGTCTCTCTCCCTCATCATCAAAATAAGCTACGGATGTCTTGCTATGAATCCAGTCTCAGAATCTGTCAGCACTCACTCCCTCTGTCCCTTCCAGTCGGGCTCAAACTCTGCAAACATGTTCCTTCCCAACAGCTGTTGGTCACCAGGCCCGTTTACCGACTGTCCCTAGGAGCGTCTGTGCCCCCCGGGCCCCCATCAGCGCCCTTGTGCCTTCTCGCACCCACTTCATTGCAGAGCTTCTAACCAGTTCTCCTGCTGGCAGACTCGTCCTCGGTACTGGGGTCAGACTGTTCTTTGAGTTGATTCTATGTCACTGCAGCCTCTGAAACCCCCGCCACATCAAGGTGAGGGTCTGCCCCCTGCCCGTTCCCCCAGACAGTGGCTCTACTCAGTTCTTTCACTTTTCTTAAAAAATTAATCGCATTCATTATTTACCAGGCCATTTTTTTCTCACCATCCGCTAAGCAGGCACTGCTTCCGCTTCCTCTGTACCTGGACTCACCTCCACCACCCCTCCACCCCCCACCCCCGCTTGGAGGGGCCCTTCCCCGCCGTTCTCCTAGAGCTTTCCTGGGCCACTCCAGCCTTCGTGCTCACGTCTTGTTTTTAAACTGTGTACATCAGGCCTTACACTTCTTATGCTTTCCTCATAGCACTGAATACTATTCGAGCAAACAACAGGCAAATCATTCCTGGATGAATAACTGTGAAAAGTCACTTCTAATCTGAAAAGTTCAGAACTTGTTCTGGAGGACAAAAGCTGGACTGGCACGCAGGCTACTGTCACTGTGTTGATGACAATAAAATGAAAATAATCACTGAGCACAGATAAATCACAACATCCACCGTCAGTAACTAACGGTTCTTCATTAAAACCCAGGGCGAGTCCCCTGCCGGGCCAGCCCTGCCCCCGCGCGTACTTGAGCGGCGCCGGCAGGATGGTCTGGTAGTTGTAGTGCTGCTGCTGCTGGCTCAGGATCTGCAGCTGCAGGAACAGCTGCTGCTGCTGCAGCAGGCGGGCGTAGTTGGAGTCCAGGGGCGGCTCGCTCTTCTCGCCTTTCTGGTCTGGAGGAATGTACTGGTGGTACTTCAGCTTCTTTACCCTTGGTTTGGGGTCTTTGCACTTTTTGCTACGGTGCTTGTCGTTCGGATTCTTGGGATGGCTTTGCTATTTGCAAGAAAGAAGAAATAACATTTTAAGAGATGCGACTGCGTGCAGCCCCTTCTACTGTGCCTCAGAGATTTGCAAAAGCAACGCATCTTCCAAACTGGTAGTCACTTTGGAAAGCAATACACGAAATGCATTTCAAGAGCCAGGAAAACACCTGCGTGCTCCTCTGACCAAGAAATCTTGCTCCTCAGAATTCGTTTCTCCTGCTGCCTTTCCCCTGAGACTGAGGGCGAGCTGCTCAGGGCTCAGCATTGTCTATTCAAACCCAACATTCGTTTTGAGTTTCCTGTGTAGACACACTGCTAGGCGCTAACACAGATTATCTCCTAGTGAAAAGAGGTCATGCAGTAAATATGCAATAGAAAAAGATTAAGTATATTTCACTACAATCGGAATATTTTTTAGTCATTAAAAAAATCTATGGAGAATATACAAAAATAGAAAAACACTTCTAATGAGAATAAAGCAGAATATACAGCTATGCAGTTCTACAGAAAATCCACAAAAAAGAAAATATTGAGTAATGTGAACAGGAATTTAAAAAATTTTTTCAAAAATACATTTTATTTGGAAAGGGGGTGTGTGAGACCTCATCTTATGATTAAGACTCAGATGGCTTTTTCCTCGGTTCTCCTCCATTTATAAGTTGTCAAATCACTTTCTACTTTTTAGTATTCCTATTATAATTTAATCTGAAAAAAAAAAAAGTTCATCGACAAAACAATAAGGTATAGGAGATTATTTCTAAGCTGCTTTCAGTAAAATATTCCATATGACTGAGAAGTACTAAAATATAGTTATTGGTGTTATATTATAAATGTTAATATTGGAAGAATTAGGAAATTAAAAAAATAAACAAAAATAAAGAAGAAAATAAAAATCACTACATTCTGCAGACCAGGCACCATCACTGTTAACATCTCCTTCCAACCCCATGGCCGCCTCTGCTCAGTCGCACCTTGTTCAGCGACTTCCTATTTTCCTCACAGCATCTCTGCCCAAATGCCATCTGCTGCTTTTGCCCAGCGCTCCATTTAAAATAGAAACGGCTCCCCTCGTCTCCCCAGCAACCCCTAGCCTCGCTCTATCCTTCTCCACCAGTGGCTCCTGTGTTTTGTCGTGCTTACCCCCACTCCTAATGAAGGTGGGGTGCTCTGTGATGTTCTCCTCACTGCTGGCTACTCCTACTGTACCAAGAACAGTGCCTGCCACACAGAAGGTGCTCGATAAGTATCTGCTTGATAAACGAACGATGAATGTGTCTGCTCATTGGAAGTCACCTGAATTATCAGGCACTTAAAACACATCACAATGTCAGAGTGTATTCTTACCTGCTAAAATCTTCCTGCAGTCTCACAAGACTAATCAATTCCCTGTCATCTGCTTATTTTGTTAACAATAAATTTTGTTTCTAGTCTTTTTGAACTGATCGTAACAATGAATGGGGTCTGGGCTAAGGAGGTTTGACAGTAACTGTTACGTAATGATAAGACGACCCAGCCGCAATCAGAAAGGGGCCTGGTGAAGAGGGAGGGGCCATAAACACAAGATCCGGTATTCCTCACACCAAGTCCACGGTTACCGCTAGCCAGCACGTGTCTGTTCTCTCGGGAAATGAGGATGGGAAATAGCTTTCCTCAGAGAATACCGCAGAGAACACACACCTGTCCCTCCCTCCACTGCCCAGTCCTCTGGTCTGGTCACCACTACCCCGAATCCCAATGCCTCGTGCCCTCGAACCAAGGCCTAAAGATCGACACTAGTGAAGAGCGGAACGTCAGAGACTAGGAGAAGCAGAGAATAAACGTTCAGCATCTGCAGGAAAAGCCGGGCTGGCAGTTTCCAAAGCCTCTTTGTACGTGCTCGGGGATGTGGGAAGAGGAGGAAGGAGCTGATTTTATTGGCACGGTCGCCACCTGCCGCCCGCTGGAGTTTCATGCTGCCAGTGCTAAGCGATGGAAGATGGTGAGATACGCTGACGTGTGCCCTGAAGCCACAGACACTCGGCCACACTGACAGAGCCATCCCTCTAGGAAGGACAAGGACAGGCCCAGGGGACAAATGGCGGTGAGGAATATGCACCAGACTAACTGCCTCCAAGGAGTCCTGAGAAGGCAGACAGAGGCTGGGCCGGCATTCGGGAGACGGGGGTCCCTCCTGGCCTTGTCACTTCTTCACGTCTTTGGGCCTCAGTCCCCTCATCTGAAAGGTGATGAGAGGCTCAGCTCGCTCTCTAATGTCCTTTTTTAGTTCTAAAAGCTTGAGATCTGCGTTCTGCTACTTTTGGCAAAAGCCACATCTGAACTGATTAAAGTATTCCTCAGGTTCCCAGCCTTTTATTTAGTTCTAAATACGTTTCAAAGAACTTTAAAAATGCACTATATATTAAATTTTAATCTTCCTTGAGATTTACTTTAACTGAACTGTTTTGACCAAGTAAAATGCAGGGCACAGTGCCACGAATCTGCACTTATCTGAAGAACAAGCTAAGCATGATCGGGCCAAATCTGCTAAATCACAAAAATGTATCTGCTTCCCTAAGACCTTTAACCTATCATGCAATATATCTGGAATACCACTGAGTTTGACCTTGTGTGTAAAGTCTGAAATCACGTTACCAGCAAAGACATCTGTGGATTCAGATTCTCGCGTGCTGTGCTGAAGCGACCCTGCCTTCCTCTCTTCCCCTCTCTTCCCGTCTCCCCCGCCTCGGTGGCCTGGGCGGAAGCAGAGCGGGCCCTGCGAACAGGACGGCCTGGCACCTCTCTGCTCTGCTCCCGCAGCTTCGTACAGACTGCGTTTTCTGTTCTTCTTCTGTGACTACTGAACGATAGGTCCTCTGTTGGAAGGTGGTAGTTTCAAATAGTAAGGCCCGGTCTAGCAAGTCCTCCCACGGCTTTGTTTTCAAGGCTTCAGGCTAAAAGGCAGGCTGGGTGACATGGACACACAGCCTTCGTCCTCTGCGCACAGGGTTACAGGCACAGTCACAAGTAAAGACCCAAGCTGGCGTGTACATGGGCACCCACCTTTACCAGCGCTGGCCCAGGCTTCGCTGAGGATGCAGAGTTTGTGGGGAGCACGGGAGCTGTGGGTCTTGTGGGAGGCTGATCCGTAGTGGCAGGACTTTTCAAGAATTCAGGAACTGCTGGAGACACTGAAGTAAACTGGCGGAAAAGGCAGAAAGGGAAGGAATCTGTGAAATCAATGACAGCAATAACAGAAAAAAACAGAATTTTAAGGGAATGATCTCATTAAAAAAAAAGTCCACTAGAAAATAAACAAAAGTATATTATCATGTCCAAGACCCAGATGGAGGAATACCACGCCTTACCTCCGTGAAGCCCCAATGGCAATGGAAAGCGAAAACTACAGAAGGTAAGACTGACTAAATTGTAGTAAGTGTTTTCAGAAATATGGTCAGAACCACCCTTTTCTGGCAGAAAAAAAATCCGAGACTCATGTAAAAATGATCAAAACAACACATGGCATTCATAAGGTGTTCTTGCCACGAGGGTCACAGTAATCCAGGTTAATTCGCATGCCCGACCAACCCCTCTGCCACCCAGGCCCATGCTGGGCAGTGCCTGGTTAGACACCTTCCTCTCCCAGAGGCCTGTCCACCTGCAGTCAGTAACCTAACCGCGCCTTCCCGCTGTGTTCCCGCTGCCAACCCAGCTGACTCTCGTCAACCATTTCCCTGTTTTCTGCAACAGGAGAAAAGCTGAAGGATATATTCCGGTAAGACTGACCTGTTTCATCAGCGGTACCCAAGCACTTAAAGCAAGAAGCTAATTTTTACCTGGACCAAAATAAGTAATTACTGAATCTCAATGTGGAGACACATTAACAAAGGAAGCTACAGAAGGCTTTGTTAGTTTTTTATCAGCCACCTCACAACCTATTCCCACCAGCAATCCACTTCAAGGAGATTTTAAGTATTCATTTACTGGAGAGAGGTATTACTACCACAATAACTCAGTTAAATGTTGCCTGTCGATTACTCCTTGGACTTACTATTACCAGCCTTATCTTAAGGGAAAATGTCTCCCTTTATCACAGACTTCTCCGAACAACTCTCGAATTCATTACAACCATCAAAACCGGTTCTCCTGTTGAAGTATTTGGGTTTAAAAATAGCAAACTGTATTTTCCCTCCTTAAAATAAATGACCTGAAAAGTCGGAGAGTTATTAGCAGCAAGAAATATGAAGCTTGGCACATACTAGTTACTCAATAAATATCTTTTTAATGGGTGAATGGAAATTCCTCGTGGCTTCACTCATGCCAGGCCACACTCACGTCTGCTGGGACTGTGAGTACAGGTGTGAGTGTACAATCAGCTGTGCGTGCCCATGGCGGCTCTCTCTTCCTGAGGTTTGTTTTCATTCTGCTGTTGATTTCAGCCTTTAAGTAATTATCAGTAACCATAAGTGCTGACAACATAAAAGACTTGACTTTTTAATGATGGCTATACTCAATTTCGTTTTCAAACAGAAACGAAAGGACTTATCCAAAAGTTTTGACACCTATGTTCCAGGCTGACTTTTGCCTCAAATGGCCCTGAGACAGCCGGCTCATCGATGAACCTCTCACATGATTTGGAAGATGGTGGCCAGCTGATCACTGCTTTAAGGGATAGGATTTTACATTGTTTTCCTTTCACGCAGAACATTTTTGAGAAATGAGGATACTTACTCTGGGACGATTTTCACACAGGGAAAAACATTCTTTGGCTATTAAATAATTGGCATAAGAATCAGATATTTGAATTCTGAAATGTATGTATTTCCTTGCAGATAAATTCTGCTAACCTGGCAGGCTATGTGATCATCCCAGCCCCCTGACTGATATGACAGGGACGATGCATTCGAGAGCAGTCAGTGTCAATAATCCGAATGTGGCGCTGACTGTAATATTTATGAAGATGTTTTGCCTATATTGCTAGGCCCCGACTAGCTGGCTTCTGCCCTGACTACTGCCACGCCCATCTTAAGAGCTCTTCTGGCATTTCAGTGTGACCTGGCTACCCAGAAATCCGGACTCCAGCAGAACACAAGAATAATGTGGGTTGCTTCTCCCTGTGGTTACTGTGAATGCTGCTGCTATGCACATGGGTGTACAGGTGCCCGCTCAAGTCCCTGCTTTTGATTCTTTGGGGCATATACGCAGAAGTGGATTTTCTGGGTCACGTGCTAATTCCATCTTTAACTTTTGAGGAACTGCCGTACCGTTTTCTATAGTGATTGCACCATTTCCCCATCCCACCAGCAGTGTGCAAGGGTTTCGGTTTCTCCTCATCCTTGATGACTCTTGTTAATTCATGCTATTTTGATAGTTGCCAGTTTAGTGGTGTGAGTTGAGATTGTGGTTTTGATTTGCTTTTTTATTTTTTAGCAATTTAATGATGCTGAGCATCTTTTCATGTTTTTATTGGCCATTTGTTTATCTTCTCTGGAGAAATGTCTATTCTAGTCCTTTGCCCATTTTTTAATTAGGATTTTTTTTGTTGTTGAACTGTGGATTCCTTTATATATTCTGGGTATTAACCCTTTATCAGATAGATGATTTGTAAGTATTTCCTCCCATTCTGTGGGTTGCTTTTTATTCTGTTAATAGTGTCCTTTTATGCACAGTTTTTAATTTTGATGTAGCCTAATTATCTATTTTTAATTTTGTTGCCTTGGTGTAATAACTAAGAAATCATTGCCAAATCCAATGTCATAAAGCATTCCTATATGTTTTCTTCTAAGGGTTTTATAGTTTTAGCTCATATTTAGGTCTTTGTCCATTTTGAGTTAATCTTCATATATGGTGTTAGATAAGGGCCCAACTTTTTTTTTTTTTAGGCGAGGCAACCCTTGTTTGACCTCACAGATTGCAAGGACCTTGTCAGCTTACAATCCCTTATTTTTTTAAATTTTTTTTATTTTTTACGCCTACAGCACCTGGTCTTCCTAGAGGTCTCCTATCCAAGTACTAACCAGGCCCAACCCTGCTTAGCTTCTGAGATCAGACGGAATTGGGCTTGTTCAGGGTGGCATGGCCATAGACAATAAGGGTCTAATTTCATTCTTTTGCTTGTGGATACCCAGTTTTCTCAACACCATTTATTGAAAAAACTGTCCCTTCCCTACTGAGGGCCTTGGCACCCTTGTCAAAATGTTTTAAACCTATAAATGAAGACTTATTTCTCTCTATTCTATTCCACTGGTCTGTATCTGTCTTTATGCCAGAACCACACTGCTTTGATTACCGTAGCTCTGTAGTAAGTTTTGAAATCAGGAAGTGTGACATCTTCCTGTTCTTTTTCAAGACTGTTTTGGCTATCTGGGGTCCCTTGAGAGTCCATATAAATTTTAGGATGAATTTTCCTATTTCTGTAAAACATCGTCATTGGGATTTTGATAGAAATTACACTGAATCTGTAGATTGGGAGTACTGACACCTTAGTAATGAATACTAAGTCTTCTAATCCATGAACATGGGATGTCTTCTCATTTATGTGTTAGATTTTCTGTAGTGACTCCTTTCTCATTTCCTTTAGATATTTCCTTTGTGGTTACTATGGGGGTTAAATATAACATCGTAAAGGTATGACATCTACCTTATATTAACACCAACTTCATTTACATACAAAAACTACTTCTTTACAGCTACGTCCTCCACTTTATATTACTGATGCCACAAGTTACATCATTATACACTGCGTAGTCATTAACAGATCATTTTTCTGTGCATTTGTTGCTTAAATCCTGTAGAAAATAAAAAGTGGAGTTACAAAATAAATTACACCCAGGTGTCTGTGGGTCTGCAGTCTCTCTGTTTCACATGTCACGGCTCCTGTCGTTGCCTGCCACGGCTGAGAGCCTGCAAGCCAAACCACGTGCTTTTACCTGTCTGACTTCTGAGTCAGACAAGACAGAAACCCATGGACAGGCCAGAAGGCTGCAAACAAGTTGTGTTCTGCCCCTTCCATCTCGAGGCGGGGAGCTGGGTATTGGGCTGCTGCTTTGTGACAACCTGCCAGGGAGGGTGGGCAAGGGTGAGTAAAAACACCATGACATTTTCTACTTTTTTCTTGACTGGGTATTTTTTTGGTTGGTAGAGGTCACTGACTGGTTTCCAGAGCTCTTATAAAGTTATTTTAGTCAGTCTGTAGTTTATTTAATGTTTCTATGGGACAACAAGGGCTTGGTCCTTCCTATTCTGCCACTGTTGACATACATTTTCTTTTAGAGTGAGATTTCCTATCACTTGTGAGACAGTGTTAAGCATGCAGATGCATGCATAAAAATCTAAACGTGAAGCTATTTAGTACCTCTGATTTTTAATAGTTCGATTATAACTAATACTACGACAACTAAAATAATGCCACAAAGCAGAGGGACAATCACTCAGAGTATCACCGATCTACTCTAACCACGAATGAATCTATTGCTTTTGGTAGTAACTTCATGGAACGGTCAATATAAAAATGTTATTAATGTCTACGGCTATGCCACCCTGAACGCGCCCGATCTCGTCTGATCTCGGAAGTTAAGCAGGGTCGGGCCTGGTTAGTACTTGGATGGGAGACCACCTAGGATACCAGGTGCTGTAGGCAATAAAGAAAAATGTTATTAATACTTTAGATCGACTTTGAAAAACCCTAGAGCCGATGTCCACCTCACTTAAACACAGTCCTCTTTCTGAAGCTGCTACACAGTGTTTACTATACTATAGTTTCTGGGATCAGGCAGAATGTCCATTACAACCTTGGTGTAACCCTGTTGGTGATTCACGAGTTAGTCAAAGTGACTGTGAGGGGCCAGAATGTGGCAGCATTGTAACTATTAGAGAACTGCTATTATTCGTTTTTGGTAACTGAGTTATGACACTTCAGTAAACTGTATAGTTGAGGAAATGATGTTATGTATATTTAAGTAACACACGTAACAGCTGTCACTCTGAGTTGTACGAGGATGACAGAGTAATGTGTTAAGTCTTAAGGAAACAGTCTTAAGGAAAATCTCAAACTATTGGTCTAATGAGAACAAAGTCATTAGTTCAAACCCTGTGTGGGCTAAACAGATGCTCTTTTCAGGACACCTGCTCCAGGTGACACATAGAACAAGTAGCTCAGCACTGGGCTCCAGTAAGAGCTCGGCAATGTTAGCCATTAGTTT